TTTCATATTCTCTTATATAATATAATTTATAAAAGCAGCAGATATTTCTTCTATTTAGAGAGGTGGAAACGGAGGCAAGAAAATGCAGTCATTTTGTTGGAGGGACTATTCTACATTTCCAAAGCAATTAAGACATGACCCCAAACTAACTAAATTCTCCTGCAACGTATTCTTACAAGAAAAAGGTTAAAAGGCTTATTGCTTAACAAAAGCTAAACAGTGTGAATTAATTTCAATAACTGGTCCAAAAAGCTGCAGCACGCCACTGAGTAGCTTGGACATCTGTTGCCATGCTTGTTCACACTTTCCCCTGAGATGACATCGATGTATCATCATTAACAGGTGTCCCTGATTTTGGTTCAGAATACTACTCCTGCACGTCCCCACATCTCCTGTACACAGCCACGTGCTGCCATCTTCTGATGATGCCCAGTGGAGTGTAAACATTTTTTCATGGAAAAGCAAAATCAATAAAAGTAAAACTCCCCACTTTTCCTGCCAGTAGTGCCCTTGGTAACAAACAGGGCAGAGACACCAACACAGAGATTACAATACTCTCAGACATAATTCAAGCAGAACTTTAAATGGATCAGTGCATGTTATAAACTTTCTTTTTTTGCAAGTGCCAAGCATGCTTATGTTACTATTCATTCTGAGACAGACAGATCATCAATGACCTTCTGGGTCACTGACTAGGGAGAAAGCTGACTATAAAAAAGAGTGGGAGAAAAATAAAGGGGGGGTTGCTTCCTTCTACCCTAGACCCCCTACTGCCTTGAATGAAAGAAGACAGATGGCAGCCACCTTTCCCTTTAATTAGGAGGGGCAGCTTAGAAGGGACAGTCCTGCTCACTTGGCACTATCTTTAACAAGACTGTTTCGATGGTAATACTCTGCGCATTCGCCCTTCTTTCAAACTGTTCTGAATTTTTCATTTACAAACTGAATTTCTGTAAATTTAATGGTGAAACAATTACAGCTCTAACCACAACACTATACATAAAGGAGACACTTAAAGATGTTTGCTGAATTAATAATTCACAGATATTCCTATAAAGAGGCTGGAATGTTTCAAATGAAATACAGCTACCTCCAGTCCTATCAGCACCACTTTGAGATAAAATATGAATTCCCAGGACACAGAAGCTCTACCTTAAATTCACAATATTCCATACTAGACATAGAAGACCCCTAGTTTCTGCTTTCCAGTTCCACTCCAGTCGTGCTCCCATCTTTTACCTTCAAAGTATTGCTGTTCAAGTTGACAAAACAAACAAACAAAAAAATAAAAAAAGAATTCTACAGTAAAAATCAGTCCTAAATGTAGAAGGGAAGATCATTTAATAACAAATCACAAACCACTCTTCATCTCTATTTACTCTGCATCTTCAAAAACCATAGAACTTTGTATTACAAGTTAATCAATCCACATCACATCCCTGGAGAGAGGATCAGCATAAGATACAAACAAAATGGGAAACAGGAGCCACGTGTCAGAATTAGGCTAGTGTCACAGGATCTTCTATGGCGGTGATGAAGCCGCTTCATTATTTTCTAGAGGCAATTAAGCACGTTGTCCATAAATCTACATGGCACAAAACTTTCTAACATGAAAGAAAGTTTAGTTGCTGTTGACAGGGTTAGGTCTCTATACGTTTATCTCATTTTTATATTAAATTTGTTTTGATCAACATCATTAAATAATTGATATTCTTGCAGCTCTTTTCCATTTCCTGATGCATTTTTAAATTGCAGCCTCTTGTCTATGACAGCTTCCCACCTAGTTTCTGCACAATTCCTGCACAAGGACCCTCTGCCTTAACACCAGTGCTGGGGAAACCCACTCTGCCTGCTTCCAAATGGAAATCAGGGCGGCGAACTGGGGCTGCTTTGCTGGAGGTACTCCTGGTCACACCATACAAAACGCCTTGTCTGTGTCACAGTCATTTACCTAATGGCAAAGTTCTTGGACCATTTAGAAACAAAACAAAACAAAACACCTTTTGTTTTCTCCTTGATAATAAATTTCAATCTCTTCCTATCTCTGAACAGCAAGCCGGCACACTAGATATGGGAAGAGGGAAAAGATAAAAGAAGCAATCAGTTATTGAATAAACTATATCCTACATCCCAATGAAGGGGAAAAAACTTGGCATGTGCCAGATATTGGGTGTCTAATAATGTTAGCAAGAAAAAACACGCAGGAGACACTGACTAACAAAGAAACAAGCAGAACTTACTTTGTTCCCCAGCCCAGTAAGCAGGACGGGAATGAGATGACGGCAATTCCTTCCTCAAGGTCCTTGCTTTCACTTTAAAAGCTGTGTGAGTGCTTATATCCAGGTTTGCCGTGGAACTCCAAATGTCTGCGCTTCTAAAGATGCCCCAAGTTCCCAGTTCATCTCAGACACTGAAGACACACTTGTGAGGATCGGGAAGCCCCGCGGTAGCCCCAGTCGACCTCTGGGTGCCACGTGGCACCTCCACTGTTGTGACTACACACACAAGCCTGGGACGCCCACTTGTTAGCTCAGGAACCAGGCGGCCAGCAGATATCTGCTCAGATGAACGTCCAGAGACTCAATCCTCTGGCATTCTCAGGTTCAAGGTTGGAAAACGCATTAAGACGAGAGCCACACAGTCAGCAGAATCTGCGCCATTAGCTTTCTCGTACTTAAACGTCTGTCTAAATAAGAGTCAAAGGCACAAAATGAGAAGGAATATCTTACTAGGGACTGTGACTTGCACTTGCCGTGTTTTGAAAGTACTGGGTCCTGTCTTGCTCTCTAAAACTGCACTTAAGAATCCCTACATCAGAAGTTATTTTCATTTCTTCTGTGAAAAACAGAAAGTCAATAAAAGACTGGAAAAACATATGAAACATAATTCTGCTTAAAAACATAACCATTATTTAATCTCAACGGGCCAATTTTTTTAATCCAAGGAAGGAAAAAAAAAATACATGTATAAATTTAAAGTTTGTTTTGAAAAATTACTTCATCCATGTACTGTCCAGCTCATAAAAACAAACCTTCTTCCAGCGAAACGGGACACTTTGACCTTGTTTACTGCAGTGTTTTGAAACCGCTGTCTCGTAACTCCTGACATCACCAGTGGTACATTAGCACCTGGACTGCTGCTGGCTGCACACGCTGCTACCCCAACTCTCTTGAATCACCCGTGGCTGAACAAATACTCACAGAACAGTAAGGATAGTGGCATTAGCATTAAACCCACAAAACTCACGAGACGTTTTAGCAGTGTCACGTCTCTCGGTTCACTTATACAAGGAAACAAAAAGCACAAAGCACTGTATATCTAATACTTTTTAAGTCCCAGCATCCAGACCCAGCACAGACAATTCTTTCTTCTGACCCTCTCCCTGCCCAAGAAACGGGATTCCTTTCTCACCAACCGCCATATTGGCAAGAATTTCTGCCACAGAGTTTTACTATTAATAATAGAAGCTCCAACCTACTTTCCACCAATAAAAAGTTCCCACAAATCTTCCTAGGGGAGAATTTATTTAAGTATACTTTAGAGTTTCAAAGAGCACTGCGTTCTTAAGTTTCACAAAGTCAAATTTCTTTCTTTTCTGGAACATGCTTTTGGTGTTGTGCCTGCCTCTTGCGTTTTTAAAGAAACAATTTTCTCCTGTAAGCCTGACACATTTCCCCTTCTGCATTCCCCAGTTCTTTTTCTAAATACACCAAAATCAAAGCAAAGGAGAGCTGCAACCAGTGGAAGCAAGCCACAACTGAATTTGTGCAAATACCTCCCCAGATTCACTTCTTAAATAAAACTAAATCCCGGTGCCACAATGATAGTGCAGTTTTACAGAGAAATTAAAAACCCAAGTTTAACGTATCTGAAATCAATTGATAACCTTTACTGAAACCACTTACGAAACATCACATCTTTAAACTACAGTCACCAAAAAATATAGAACACAAAATACATATTTGAGCAATTATAGCCCTTGTTTGTCGAACAGGAGTAAAAAGAAAAACATCCAGAGTTAATACAATTAATTAACTCTAGCTAAAGAACTACTAAAAAGACCCTCCAAATGCCATGCTGTTTCTATGACAACTTCAAAATTGCTCTGAGAAAATGTGCTGGATTGTCAGATTCGTGATAAAACAAGTGTCATCCTGCCTGCTAGAAATTACTTTCATTTTTTTTCAGGCAGCAGAAAGGCTAAATGGCCACTTGCAATTCTGAAATATCAGATTGTTACCTTTTGACAGATGCTGTACTCTTCATTCAGATCATGAAAAGAGTTAATAAATACATGAATCTCTCTCAATCATCGGAACCCTTTTGGTTTCATTCCTGCAACGATACCACTCCCACCGTCTATCTAGTTGGTACATTATTTTTTATAAGGAAAGCAGCAAAGTCTGATTCAATCTGAAAGGGAAGGGCCAAGAAAAACCCCTAACAGTCTCTCATTTCCAAATACAAATAGGTGAGCAGACACTCACTCTGATATTTAAGGGTTAATAATGACACAGGAAAAGAAAACGGCATTTTCCCCCTTAAAATTCCTGCTCTTAGGTATTCAGGCTGATTTACATTTTACGTAATCTGATGGCTCAATCAGGAAGTGAGAATTTTAAGTGCGTGAGTTATGGACGGGAGGAATCATGTGACCCATAGCAAAGAAAATTATGCAGCAGATGAGCATGCTGAGAAAAATAAACTAAGCAGTTTAAAAATAGTGTTTTGGGGATATATCGACCCAGGAATATCCTACGGCTTTTGAGAACTAATAATTCATTTGGACGCCTCAAAAAATAAATCCCCAGGACTGTTTTAAAAAATATTACAAGATGCAAGTAATGCACGGTGAGACAATAAAGTTTAATTATCCAAGAAACTGTTTCCCTTAAGTTCATATCCATTCAAGGTTTATGTTAAAACATGGTTATGTTATTTTTCATCATTATTTAAAGATCAGGCAATACGTAATATAATCAAACAAAACACAGATTGCAGCAGTGATGTTTACTTAAGCTTTATTTGTATATATAGTGCATGGGTTCCTGGAGCACAAAAAAGAAAGTTGCTCAGATTTATCCAGACCTCACATAAGTTTATAGATTTCAAATAGTCACTGTATTTTATTACAGCAAATACATTCTTCAAGAGGAAAATGTTAAGGCCACAGAAGCTTTCACCTTAGCTATCTAAACTTGTACTAGGTCGTCATTAAGTAGTATCTGTATCATTCTTATGTGTTCTGTAAGTTATGCCACAAATACCAGACCAAGTACACTCAGTCTAGAAACAAAAAAGTGGGAGACAAAGGTTGAAACATTCTAATAGGTGTCATGGGCTGATAGATGACTTTATATTACAAAGCTACTTAAGACAATTCTACTTTTCTAGAATACAATACATTAATATAAACATTTGAAATTCAAAAGATTTGGCCTGTGGCTGCTTTTTTTCTCGATGCAATTCTTGTTAATATGTTAGTAAGTAATAATTTATTAATACCAATAATAGAAAATTAACATGGTGAGAGCAGGTATATCTCATGGCCTTTACTTTTATCAATGCTTAATACCAAAATACTATTCATATCTTTACTTCAGCCTATTAAAAAAATTTATGCCACAGCTCTGGGCAAGTGGCAGGGTGGGGCCAGTGACAGGAATCAGTTCTGGGTATTTCTTGATTCCTAGCTCATCTTCCTTAAATTCTTAAACACAAGAGGTAGCTGGCGGTAAGAAGAGACTGTTAGGAAAGACAGAAACCTTTCAGAAGGGAAGCTTAAGGTAGATTAAGAAAAGTTAGGGAAGCTGAGAAGCACACAGTCTTCCAGATGGAGTATTACATGACATCCGTCATCATCTTACTAAACTTGGTATCATATTTGTTGACTGAATTAAGGAAAGATGAACTAGTTACCAAGAAATATACTCAGCAGATTGATTCATGGCAAACCTAGCTCAGCCACTTACCTAGACTAGTTTATTTAGGATAAACCTCAGAGTATGTACTTCTCTTTTGTTTTATAAATGAATCTTGGGTCTGGGCTCAGCAGTCAGTCAACTATCTGCATAATACAGCAAAGTCTCTTAACTTCTCTAATTTCCTGAAATATCAAATTGTTACCTTTTGAGAGATGTTGTACTCTTTATTCAGATCACAAAAAGAGTAATCATTTTAAATGAATCTCTGAGTAATCAGGACCAGTTTTATTTCATTCCTGCAACTATACCACTAATCGGAAAATTAAAGAAGTTAAGAGACTTTGCTATGTCACAGAGATAGGTGAGTGAACTGAAAAGCAGACCCAAGATTTTGGACTTTCCCAGGCTAGGACTCTTTTACACCATGTGCTGCCTTACAACTGTCATCTGAGGTTCGAGTAACTCTCCAACTAGCCAAGCCCTGGCTACTTATCCCAGTCATGGAAAAGTCAAACAGGACCCAGAGACCCTCGCTTTGTGCCACCTTCTTCTTAACTCACAGGCCCACTGACCCTCACACTGCTGCTGTGGGCTGCTCCCGCCAGCCTGTGCTGAGCCTCCTACCTCATCTGCGAGGAGACAGGGCAAGTTCCAGGCTGAGGGGAACGGCTTCTGAGATGGTTCCAGTCCCTCTTCCTGGCTTGGTCCTTCCACTGGTACTCACGGCTTCCTCATTTCTCCTAATGGGAAAATCAAGGCACTGAAATAAGAAAAATCACTTGTTTTGGTTCATGTCATAGCTATACTGGATTCTGAATAAACACAAGAACCAGATAATATACTAGAAAAAGTAACATTAACTCCTACTTCATAAGATTCACCAAAATTAATTCTGTGGCGATTAAAGAGTTAAATATAAAAGAAGAAAAGGAAGAAAACTAAATTAGTGGAAAATTATTTCTGAATTTGGAATGGGAAAAGAAGATTTAGCTTTATAGAAGCAATGAAAAAAGTAACAAAAGGCAAGGTAATCCAACTGCAACAAAATGTAAAACCTCTATATGTCAAAAAACAGCAAACAGAATTGAAAGGTAAGCAAAAAAAGGCCAGATGTGTTGGCTCACACCTGTAATCCCACCACTCTGGGAGGCTGAGGCAGGAGGATTGCTCCAGGCTCGGAGACCAGCCTGGGGCAACAATAGTGAGACCCTGTTCCTACAAAAAACTTAAAAACTAGCAAGGCATGGTGGCACGTATGTGTGGTCCCAGCAGAGGCTAGGGTTGGAGGATCACTTAAGCCCAGGAGTTCCAGGCTGCAGTGAGCTATGGTTGCATCACTGCATTCCAGCCCGGGTGACAGAGGGAGGCATTGTCTCTCAATAAAAAGGTAAGCAAAAAATAAAATAGCTGTAACAGGATAATATTCTTTACAGTATTTGAATGTAAAAGGTAAAATGTAATAACAGACAATTAACACAAAAATATGAAAGGCCAATTAATATGAAAAAAAATGCTCAACTTCATGAGCAAACACCGAAATTCATTTCACCAGTCACAAAGATGGACAACAAAAAAAAAGAAAGCTCATGAAGTGAGGCGAGACAACCATTTCAGGAAATCAGCAATATATGTATTTTTTCAGCCTTAAAACTGTTTCGACTCCTAAGATGTTTATACATATCTCCTAAGGAAATAATCACAGATACATAGGAAGATAACTATACAAGGACATACTTAGCAAAAGCATAAAATTGGGAACAACTTAAACATCCAAAGGTGGAATGGAGCATGTGACTAACCAGATCACAGTAAAAATTCATATGCTTAAATCATGATTTTTGGAGAATGCTTCATGATATTGGAAATAACAAAAGATAATGTTGAGTGCAAATGCTGAATATAAAATCATATGTAAACATGATACTAATGTTGCCAGGTAAGAAAGAAAGTGAGAAGAAGGGAGGGACAAGGTGGTCTCAAGACTGGATTAGGATACATTAAAAAAGCTTAAAAAGGGCAGACAAAGACATTAGATTTTTTATTACTTCTTTATAATCTTGAGATGGTTGGCATTTTCTGTAAGTAATATATTATTTTTATAACTGGAAAAATTCTATTTATGCTAATTACCACCCTCTAAATATTTCTCAGCTATATAAAATCATGAAAATATTTGCAAATACTTTTTAACAAGAAATTTCTTTTTTTTTTGAGATGGGGTCTTCCTTCAGGGGGAGTGCAATGGTACAATCATAGCTCACTGTAACCTCAAACTCCTGGGCTCAAACTATCCTCCCACCTCAATCTCCCAGCTACTCAAGTATGAACTACCACACCCAGCCAGAAATTCTTATATTTATTATTAAATGCAAAGAAGAAAGGGCAAAACAGTATGATCTTTACTATGTAAAAATTTACATGAAAGAGACTGGAAGCCTATGCACCAGAATGTTAACAGCTGTTGCTTTCAGGTAGTGCCATTGTGTGTAATACTTTTCTACACCTTACAAGTTTTCTACTATTGTCATGTATTGTTTTCATAATAAGAAACAGATAACAGTATCACAATTAGAGGACTGATACATCAAGAAGCTGCTATTATCAACAGTTAAATTTCAAAATACAGAGTATCAATAGCTACAAAAATCTGCCATATGACCAAGAGATTTTCTTTTTTAATTTAGGAACCACCGGTATACCTTCAGAAAATCGCAGGAATTGGTGTGTGTGTAGGAGGTGGTAATGAATCATATTTTTTCAGCTGTCAAACTGTTTTCTCCAGGCAACAGTTCTGTGAGGGTCCAACTGAAGTATGAGAACCTCGATAGTAGGGACATTGCCAGAAAAATGGCCCAAAGGTCGATGGGGGGAGGAACACGAAATGATCAAAAGAGTAAGGCAAGAGTCCATGAAAACAGAAGCGTCAATAGAGAAGGATCAATAATTCATTTGATCCAAAGGAACTGAACGCAAGAACTAAAACAGGTATTTGTACACCCACGTCCCTAACAGCATTATTCACAACAGCCAAAACGTGGGAGCAACCTGTGTCTGTCAACCCGTGTCCATCACATGGATATATAAAATGTGGTATCTCTACACCGTGGAATATTATTTGGCCTTAAAAAGCAAAGAAACCATGTCAATGCTACAATGTTGTTGTAATCCTACAACATTAGATGAACCTTGAGGACACTGTGCTTAAGTGAAATAAGCCAGTCACAAAAGGACACACACTGTAGGGTTTCACTTATCTGAGGTACCTAGAATAGCCAAATTCAAAGAAATGGAAAGTACGATGGTGGTTGCGGTGGGGCTGGGGGGAGGAGAGAATGGGGAGTTGTTGTTTAATGAGGACAGAGTTTCTGTTTTGCAAGATGAAAAGATTTCAGAGATGGATGATGGTGATGGGTGCACAACAATGTGAATGTATTTAATGCCAATGACCTGTGTACTTAAACATGGTTAAGATGGTAATTTTTCTGTTATATATTTTACCACAATTAAAATATATACAGATATATTTTAAGTATCTGTCTTTACATATAGATATAGTCTTATCTGTGTATATGTGTGTATATACATATTTCATCTATAAATATATGAAAGAAAGAAAGAAATCACCAGAATTAGAAGTCCTGAATAAGTTTCCGATTTGGCATGTGAGAAAGGTTTAAGGATTATTTCTGAGACTAAATTCTTTAAATATAATTATAGAAGTCAGCTCAGAAGTGAAAATCCAGATCAAAAGTGAAAATAAGAAGGGATACTGTGTTTAATTTGAACATAATATACCGAACTTCTTTGTGGTTTTTTTTGAGACCCTCTCATAATAGCCAGCTCCGAAAAATTCCCCACAACTAGGAAAGAACCTACAAATCCAAGCAACATGATGACATTTTCTCATCAACTAACAGGAAAAAAAACATAAGCATAAGGGAAACTCTGAGTGTCCTTAAAATGTACTCGATACCCATTTCATGCTATTACCACAGATGTAAAGAATTCTAGAGCTGGGCAGAAGCTCTGAGATAGAACTGTTCCAGGATTTAGATATCTAGAGAGGTTTCCCCAAGTTCACTGAGAAATGCCAGATTTAAAGACAGGCCCCTGGGGCAGAGTTCTATTTTGTTTGTTGTGTTTTATTTAATTAATTTATTTATTTTGAGATAGAGTTTCTCTCTTGTTGAACAGGCTGGAGTACAATGGTGTTATCTCGGCTCACTGCAACCTCTGCCTTCTCGGTTCAAGCAATTCTCCTGCCTCAGCCTCCCACGCAGCTGGGATTACAGGCACCCGCCACCACGCCCAGCTAATTTTTGTATTTTTAGTAGAGACAGTGTTTCACCATGTTGGCCAGGCTGGTCTCGAACTCCTGACTTCAGGTGACCCACCCACCTCGGCCTCCCAAAGTGCTGGGATTACAGGCATGAGCCACCACGCTTGGCCGTGTTTTATTTTTTTTAAAGAGGTGGCTATTTAAAGGTAAGAAAGCAAAGCGTAATTGGAATGCTCTTTCTACAAGTTATTTGATTCATTAATTTTGTTCAAAAAATACTTGAGCACATCTTATATAACTCTGCTAGGCACTGGGCTAGGTGCTGGATGATGAACAATATTTCATCATCCTTCCTGTAGCAAACTGGCAATTACAATGTAAAGGAGGCACACAGTGCTATTAGTACACATAAGAGGGAGCTCTAATCTGGTCTAGCTAGATTGGTTGAGGATGGCAACCTGGAAGTAGTGATATTTTTAATAATAATAGTAATCACTGTTATCACAGCAAGCTTTACTGACCATCATTACAGGTCAGCTAGGGCTTTAAGCACTTTCTGTGCATGAATTAATTTAATCTTCCCTACAATCCTATAAAGTAGACTCTTACCGATGAGGAAATGGAGGCACGGAGAGGTCACATAGCTCTTAAGTAGTGAAGACAGACCAGATTGCATGCTTTTTCAAAATCTGCTTTTAGGGAAACCCAAAGACAAGACAGGAATGAAACTTAAGGATCAGAACATTCAGGAAAGAACTGAGATCCTCTGAATAAGTAAAAAGGGAGAAATAGGGTAGGATTACTACAGATGGGAGAGGCTGAGGAAGGATGGAAGGGATACAAAGCCCATGACCAAGAGCTCTGGGGCAGGAGTGGCTGATTTACATTTGGGATTTTCATAAAGTTCTGTGGAGTGGGAAACAACTCTCTTCTCCAACTCCCCATAAACTTGTTAGTGCCATGATGACCTGGTTATGTACAGGCTAGAATGCATGCTCTGCAGAGGCCCCCATCCATCTGGGTACAAGACATTTAACAAATGGGTAAGAATTAAAGCAGGGAAGAAGGAGGATGAGGATGCTTTTAGAAGCATCGCCCAGAAAGAAGTCAGAGAATGGATCAGGGGAAATTTAGCAGGGAGAGAGTTGCTAATCCATTAATACAGGTAAAAGGGAATGGTGACCAAGAAGAAGGACATGACAGATAGATAAAGTAGATGGGTTTGATGATTGTTGATAGGTAGAATTTTGACCAGATTTGCCTTCTTACTGGATTCTGAAGGTGAGGAGAAAGGATCAATAGGTCACAGGTTTCAAGCTTGGGTATTTGGATCAATTTGGAACCTCTTGGATATGAGGTGCCA